ATCAAGGTGGTAGCTTGGTTTTTATTAAGACAATCAAATACTCTATTAAGAATATAGTTTAAAGGCACAAATAGATGCACACAATCACTTTGAACAGCTAGATTTCCTTGCCGATCAAGGCGGTATTCATCAATAATGTTAATATTACTGTGAACTGGTTTCTCATTCCTAGTATTTTCTCCACCTTTGCCATACTGTCATTTTCTTTTCATGATATTTTCCTAAACATAAAAAAAAAAACAGTTTATAAAAATAGTGTCGAGAATAGACTCCTGATGTTAATAAAAAAAAAATAATGCAGAGGGGTAACACAGTAACAGTTTATAAAATATTGTTTCCACCAATGAAGCAATTTTACTTAGTTTAACATTTTCGAGAAGAATAAAAGTTGCTTTAGTAGACATGTTGTTTCTGTGAGTACGAATGGGAGTCAATGTTACAGGAAATTAGGAAGGAAATAAATTTATATATATATGAAATAAAGACTAAAATAGCACCAATTCAAAAATTGATGACGCTGAAGATATACTTTCCAGACTTCAAAATCTCTTATGTCCCTAGATTTCAGAATGGTGCTTTTGATTCTTTAGCTAAGTTAGCTAGGTCCTTTTATCGTAAGCTTGTGTACGTTGGTTGTTCTGTTCCGGTCTGGGTAACCCAGACTATCTCAAGTCGCTTGAGTAATGGAGCAGCCGTTTGATGTCAAACAAAAAAAAAAAAATAGCACCAATTCAAGTTTTTATCCCCAAACTAGCATCCAAGGCTAAAAGTCACAAAAATAGGTTTCATTAAAGGGATAATTTACCCTTATGCCCATTTTTGATTAACTAAAAGTAATAGATTAATAGATGATTTATCCTTATGTCATTTTTTTACTAATTTACTCTAAAATCCTAACCATGAAAGTTCAATTCTAAACCTTAAACCCTGAAACTTCTACTCTAAACCCTGAAATATCAATTTTAGAACCCTAAACTTTGCAACTTCAATTTAAACCATAAACCTTAAACCTTAAAACATCAATTCTAAACCTTAATCACAGAAACTTCAACTCTAAACCTTAATCCTGAAACTTCAACTCTAATCTCTAAACCCTGAAATATCAACTCTAAAACCCTAAACACTTAAACTTCAACTCTAAACCCTAAACCCTGAAACATCAACTCTAAAACCCTAAAACCTAAAATTTCAACTCTAAATTGAAACATAAACTCTAACACTTTAAACCCTGAAACTTCAAATATAGACCCTAAATCCTGGAACATCAACTCTAAAAACCATAAATCCTTATGTTTTACTTCTAAACTCCTGAAACATCAACTTTAAAAAACTATAACCCTAAAACTTCAACTCTAATCCCTAAACCCTGAAATATCAACTATAAAACCCTAAACCATGAAACTTCAACTCTAAACCCTAGACCCTTAAACATCAACTTTAAAACCCTAAAACCTGAAACTTCAACTCTAAACCCTAAAACATCAACTCTAAAATCTTAAACCCTGAAATTTCAAATCTAACCCCTAAATCTTGAAACATCAACTCTAAAACCATAAATCCTGATGTTTTACTTCTAAACCACTGAAACATCAACTCTAGAAAACTCTAACCCTAAAACTTCAACTCAAATCCCTAAACCCTGAAATATCAACTCTAAAACCCTAAACCTTGAAACTTCAACTGTAAACCCTAAACCCTGAAAAATCAACTCTAAAACCCTAAAACCTGAAACTTCAACTCTAAACCCTGAAACATCAAATCTAAAACCTTCAACACTGAAACTTCAAATCTAAACCCTAAATCCTGAAACATCAACTCTAAAACCCTAAACCCTGATGTTTTACCTCTAAACCCTTGAAACATCAACTCTAAAACCCTAAACCCTGAAACTTCAACTCTAAACTCTGAAACATCAGCTCTAAAACCTTAAACCCTAAAACTTCAACTCTAAACCCTACACCTGAAAATCCAACTCTAAAACCCTAAACTCTGAAACTTTAACTCTAAACCCTGAAACATCAACTCTAAAACCCTAAACCCTGAAACTTCAACTCTAAACCCTATACCCTGAAAAATCCAACTCTAAAACCCTAAACTCTGAAACTTTAACTTTAAACCCTGAAACTTCAACTTTAAACCCAAATCCCTGAAAATTCAAGTCTAAAACCTTATGCCTGAAACTTCATCTCCAAACCCTGAAACATCAGTTCTAGAACCCTAAATCTTGACACTCAAACTTTAAACCCTAAATCCTAAAAAATTAATTCTAAACCCTGAAACTTCAACTCTAAACTCTAACCCTGAAATTTCAACTCTAAACCCTGAACACTGACACATCAACTCTAAAACCCTACACCTTAAAATTTCATCTTTGAATTCTAAACCCTGAAACATTAAATCTTAAACCCTAAATCTTCAAACTTCAACTTTAAACCCTAAACTTTGAAACTTCAACTCTAAACCCTGAAACATCAATTCTAGAACCCTAAACCTTGAAACCTCAACTCTAAACTCTAAACCCTGAAACTTCAACTATAAACCATTCTGAAACATAAAATTTAAACCCTACATATAAACCATAAACCCTCAACTTTAACCCTTAATCCTCAAACTCTATATTTTTCCAAAATTCAAATCTGAAACCCCAAAACCCTTAATATATTAAAATCTGGATGTTATATTAATGTTCATGATAGGCCTCACGGTAATGTATTATAAGATTTGGAAAGTCTTGAGCGTGTTCAGGATGAGCTTCCGGATAATATATTAATCTTCAGGATAATGTATTATAAATTTTGGAAAGCCTTGAGTGTGTTCTGGATGGGCTTCTGGATTTACAGAAATTTATAAAATGCATATATAAATTTACAGAAATTTATAAAATGCTAGTTTTGAAAATTAAAATTACGAATTTTTAGATAATATTATTATATTTTGATTTTTTTTTTATTTTTTTTTTTTATGTTTAATGATAAAACCCCTAAACTAAAGATTTACCGGTAGCACTGGTAATTATGACCGGCGAGGGTTTAATTCACTAAATAAAGTTAGTTTGGAGGTTTTTTCATTAAATACTTAGTTTAGGGGTTTTTACCCAAAACAAACTTAGTTGAGGGGTTTTTATGTTAAAAATCCTTTTTTAACTGATTACTTACATATTTTATTGTCTTTTAAACTAATTCTAACTAGTTCATTTATTTTATTTTCCAAATAGTTATAACTACTTCATTTTTTGTATTTTCCAAATACTAGGATATCATTGATTACAAAAAATACAAAACAATAGTTCTTATTTTAATTTTTTTATCTTTTACAATTATTTTTTAATTTTTCCTAATTATTTCATTAGTTGTCTTTAACATAATAATTCCAACGAATTTATTTTATATGTTAACAATGAGATATGTTTGAATGAAACCACTCCATTCAGAACATGAATTTGAAATGATTAACAATAAGTTTTTTTTATCTATATATAGAATCAATTAAAAATGAGTATTAAAGTACCCGTTCGGATACAATCTTTTATTTCAAATATCTGATTTTAAATTTTAAATTAGACTTCGTTTAGATATTAAGAAACAACTTAAATGATGAAAAAGTGACATCATATAAATTAAAATTTGTTTAGAATTGTGTGGGAAAATACTAACCGTATTTGCTAAGATATTGGTTATGAATATCTAGAAAATATTAATCAGATATTTGCCAGTTTGTTGATAAGATAATTCAAATATAATCATATTGAAATTCTGTGGGAAAATACTAATCGTAACCAAATTTAGATTATTAACTTTCATGACTAATTCACACTTTACACCAAAAAATAACTTGATGATTAGTAGTTATTTTAGGGAAGACGAAATTGTGGGCGGTTAATGGTTGGTATAGAGGAAATTTTGGTGTGTAACCCATCTTTTAATTAAAAATTTTGAAATGAATCTTGATTATTGTTTACAGTATTTTCCTAATGTGCATATGTTCCCAACTATTTTCCTTTTACGTGATTTACACACAAATAATAACTATTCAAGTTAACCTACTATACATTTCCAATTACCTAAAATAATTCAAATGTAGGTAGTCATTCACACAATTAACAGCCTGATATTTTGCTATGCAATGAAAATATCTCAATAAGATTTCAAATTGATTCAATTTATATAGAGATATATTGAATTGATTCGAGTAATAAATGCAACATTACCCTTGCAAGCATGATAAAACAATGCATTCAAAACATTTTCCATAAAATAATTTAAATATTTTTTATTTAATCGTGGCAGAAATTAATCTCCAATATTATATTATTTTACTAAATGTTTCTCATTAGTTAGTACAGATTTTGATAATTAATACTATATAATGACTGTATATTGTGTATAAATCAACCATTCCAGGGCACAACTCCACAAAATTTAACGATTAAAATCTATAGTTTTTTTAAAAATAAAAAAAAATCTTTACTTTATAATAGCTTCTTTAGATTTTGTTTCTGATTTGAATCCATGTGGAAGATTAAGATAAAAAAAAAAAAAAAACTTATCTTTGGAAACAAATACTAAGGTGTTGTGAGAGAGACCATTGAGATGGTTTTGGTCGACATGAAAGTAAGCAAATGATTTACAAACTTTATGTCATATTTTCAGGAATAAAAGAATTTGTTAAGTTATCAAACTACGCTATCTTTTGAACTTGGCTCATTAGATTTTTGGCAGAATCCAATAGAATATGTTTCATAATTGGGAAAATTGTCAAATATAACTCAAAACTTGATTTGAAATCCCCCTATACATTAAAAGAGAAGTCACGTGGCACTCATACAGGCCTTCTCAGAGAAATTCTGAGAATCTGATTGGTTGATTTATTTTAATTTTCGTTTTTATTTATTTTTGGTTCGCCGTACAAATGGTATGAGAATCGTATCTCAAATATTTTGTTAGGTTATTTACTTGCCTTACTCGGTTATTCAATAAGTTGCGAAAGAAGTTAGAAATTAAATGCCAAAGATGTCAATCTCATACCATTAGGAAAGATTGACAATATATATCAACGATGTCCTAATGTAAAGGCAAAGATATATGTTTAGCGAGAAGGATTAAACGCGATACTGTTGAGAAAGGCAGAGATATAGCGACTGTTCTTGACCAGGTCAGAACCTTACTTCAAATGTTTGAGCTTTCCTGGCTGCATACAACTCTTGTTTTGAACTATTTCTTTGTTTGTAACACAACAGTACTCAAAGTTTGTGAAGCCAGCATTTTAGGATTTCATACTCCCAACAAAGAAGTACGCAGATATAATAATCCCACGTGGTGGTGATAATCATGTTGCTATTGATTTGATTGTGCAACACATTCGCACTAAGCTTGGTCAACATGATCTCTGCAAAATATATCCTAATCTTTACGTCATTCAATCAACTTTTCAGGTTCTTACTTATTTCCTTTCCTTTTTTTTTCTGTTAAGTGACACAAAAAGGCTGATTCCTTTAGCCGTTGATTGCAGATACGTGGGATGCATACTCTAATCAGAGACTCCAAAACAACAAAGCATGACTTCATCTTCTACTCAGATCGATTGATTCGTTTGGTAGGGTGTAAAACTAGAGTTATGTTATTTTACCATGTTCGTTATAATTAATGATTTTTTATTGCCAGGTTGTTGAGCACGGCCTCGGGCACCTTCCTTTTACAGAAAAGCAAGTGATCACTCCCACAGGCAATCTCTAATGAAACACTTTATTCAGAAGAAGTATCAAATTAGAGTAAAGATTATAGTCTTATTGTTTTTGTGTAAACTTTAGGATCTGTGTATCGGGTGTGGACTTCTGTAAGAGGCTGTGTGGTGTCTCAGTTATCAGAAGGTAAAAAGAAACCAGCACAAATATAAATAATTAAATGATTGAAACTCTTTTACCAAATATGAAACAGCGGTGAGAGTATGGAGAATGCTTTGAGAGCATGTTGCAAAGGCATCAAGCTTGGGAAGATTCTGATTCACAGAGAAGGCGACAACGATCAGCAGGTTTGTGTTCTTTGGCCTCTTTATCAATCAATTGTCCTTTTAATAATATGTGTGAACAAATTGGGAAACGAACAGCTTAGATACGTGAAGCTACCCTCAGACATTTCGGAAAGGCACGTGCTTTTGCTGGACCCTATCCTCGGGACAGGTATGATTTGTTCTGCTCTTAACTACCTCTGCATAAGACAAGATAGGACAAGAACATGTGTATTGTTTGTGTGTGGGCAGGAAACTCGGCGGTGCAAGCGATAAGGCTCCTGATAAGTAAAGGAGTACCTGAATCCAACATCATATTTCTCAATCTCATATCTGTAAGTTGCCAAAACATGAACCCCAAAAAACAACTTTGTCGTCTTGTCTCCATAACTTAAGCAGAGTTACAATGTGTTGTGTGTTCAGGCACCGCAAGGAGTAAATGTGGTGTGCAAAAGGTTTCCGAGGATAAAGATTGTGACATCTGAGACAGAGATGGGTTTAAACGACAAGTTCAGAGTTGTACCTGGCATGGGCGAGTTTGGAGACCGCTATTTTGGCACTGATGACGAGTGAGTGAGTGAGAGAGAGCTTGTTTACTCAAGTTGAAATTTTGGGAACTCATTGTTGATTTTTTGGTTTATGGATTTTATAATGGGATTCACACATATGGTAATACCGGAACAAAATTTTCAAAATGAAGAAAGCCTCTATGTTGGTTAGAGGGTCTTGTGGAACTCCTATTAAAATTTCAAAATTGTCTTTGTAAGAAACAGAGGACTCAAACAGAGTTAAATGTTAAAATAATTATGTTGTATCCTTTCATTGATATAGTTGTTGAGTATAAATAACGTTGGTTGCAGACTGAAAGTGCAACTGCATGGAACCTGCAGATGAGTCCAATGTACAACTTATCCCTGCAAGGTCAGCAGCTAGGCTATTTTATCCGTTAAATTTTATTTTTTATTATTCGTTTCGATTCGATTTGAAAATCTGGATATCCGTAAGCTATCGAAACAAAACAAATATTAAAATTCAATAAAAAATGAAACAAATCATAAATATTAAAAATTTAGAATTAGATATCCAATCCGCTCTGACTTTTATACAACTATATATATATATATATAACTAAATATAAGTTTAAATGCATAATTTTATATAATTATTATTTCAACATATCGTTTTATGTTGAAACATATTAAATTATTTTATATTGTAAATCTACTAATATTATTTTCGTCTCAATAAAATTTAGAAATCTATTAAATTATTTTATATTGTACAGTTGCTAACAAAATTTGACAATTTTTTGCAGGTTTCTATGGGATATTTTTAATTCATAACTGTTCTTCTTATTTTATATTACTTATGGATTATATTTAAATTTTTTATTACATTTTCTTTGCAGGTTTCTATGGGATTGTGTTATATATTTCTATAGATTTACAATATATCAAAATCAAAACTATTTATTATTCTTTTATTTTATACTCATATTATGGCATTAGGAAAGATATACCTTGTTGGTAAAAGCTTTTAATTAGTTAATCCGTTTATTAATAAATTTCCCTATTTTGTTATCAATTACTTGCGCAAGTTGATATGTTGATTACCTTATTTTGCCATCAATTACTTGTCTTAAATGGTATGTCAATTATTGCAAATTTATGACATTCAATTTTTAATATCTTTCTTTAAATTGCTTCATGGTTTATTATGAATTGTTTTCCAATTTTTAATATATTTCTTTAAATTGCTTCATGCCTTATTTTAAATTAATATAACTTGCACAAGAAAACTAATATTTAATTCAAATCAGCTTATGATATTGTAGATCTAATAACTTTCTTTATTCAGTTTAAATATTTATTATAAAAAATTAATATTTTCTGCTTTGCCTTCTAAATCGGTATTACACTTTATNATTGCTTCATGCCTTATTTTAAATTAATATAACTTGCACAAGAAAACTAATATTTAATTCAAATCAGCTTATGATATTGTAGATCTAATAACTTTCTTTATTCAGTTTAAATATTTATTATAAAAAATTAATATTTTCTGCTTTGCCTTCTAAATCGGTATTACACTTTATAATTGCTTAGATTTTATAGTTACAATAGTATACTAATGAGATGAACTATTTCTCTTGCAGGTCATGATGTTGCAGTCCTTAGGTGATATTTCCTTGTGGTGATTTTTCAGGAACTCATTTGTCCAAAAGAAAAAAACCAAGAAGATCATGACAGTAACCTTGGAGGATCAACACTCTGTCAACAAAAAACATTCCCACAAAAAAATCAAGGGCGAGTGATCTCGAATTTTTTTAAAAAATATTTATTTGTGAATAGTTTCCAGGAACAACACATTTAGTCTTTTGTCACTATCCGCGTTATTCATTATTATTTATTTCAAATAAAAACACATTGAGTCTTTTCTTGTGCTCATGACAATTTTTAAAATAATTGCATTGTAATAACACTCATGTTTTAGTAATAATCTGGTGGAGGAGATGAAATTATCTAATTTTCGTTCTAATGACATGTTATTATTTAGTCAATGTATTCGTTATTGTTTTTTTAGTTATATTTTTATTAGATTATTTTTTTCAGATCTCAATATATAATAAGGTCATTTTTATAGTTATTATTATCGTCATTTAACAATTATATTATTATTTCTTTATTATTTAATTCTCACAACTTGCCTTGAATGAAAAATATGTCCACATTTACCACATTAATGATTACCAATTAATGATGATTACAACATCACGTAACATATACTCCCTCCGTTCCTAAATGATTGATGTTCTGGAAAAAAATCAAATTTCAAAAAGATTGATTTTTTACCTTTTCAATGTATGAATTAATGAAAAATTGTAAGTTTCAAAAATATTAATGGTGTTTATTGAATTTATATTGGCTAAAAGCTATGGAAAAATTTTATTCATAAAAAACAATGCATTTACAATCAAAATTTAATGAGTTTTCTTAATATATGTGAAAAGTCTACAACATCAATTTTTAAAAACAAAGGGAGTATTGTATAAATTTAATTCACAAGATTGATTGGTAATAATTAAGAATGATTTATGTTAACACATTAAATTCAGAACATCTATATAGCAATAAAAAAATGTAATAAATAATACGAATATATTATTTGATACTAACTTATCGTGCAACCATACCAACACTTATATATATCTTACATTTTCTTATGGTTTACCTTTTAAGTTGCTTATTTTCTTCAAAGCTTAATCTAATGACGTTTTTTACAAAAAAAAATAACTTCTTATGTTATCTGCAAGGACTATGATGAAGAAAATATTGAAGTTATTAAAGAAGCATGTTATTGGGCATCAGCAAAGGATCTACGCAAGCTGTTTTGTGTCCTATTACTAACACATAGTATCACAAATCCAGAAAACGTTTGGAATGCTACTTGGAAAAAACTATCACAAGATATATTATGCAACC